TGGTTCATAAAAATTACAACTCTAAGGTATTATTGAAAAATACAACTTTGGTACCATTTTTGCACTCTTTAAGATATTTCCCAGATTAGTCTAGCAAATGAATCAGTTCCTTAAAATTATGGAAAACTTTCAAGAAAAACATTAAGGAAAGCTATTATAGAACCCTGAAATTTTAGCAGCAAGATTTCAATATGGGAATTTCTTTTATTCCTAAGATGATTTGTTTTCTTCCTTTGCTTTGTCATATAGTGCTTAGATTACAAAGTACACTGTCTTGTTAACAGTTTATGTACTTCACTGCAAGTATGTTCATTTGGTAAACTGATCTATTTAAAAAACCTCACAAATTTTTGCTAGTAATTTCTACATCATCATCTGTTTTCAACATTGTATTTCAGTGTATACATTCTAATTTATATTTCTAAATGAAACAGGACCCAAAGCTCTTGTATTTCCAAAAAGTATCTAGATAAAAAGTGCAAAAGCCAGCTTTCTTCCTTTAGCAGTTTTTTCAGTTTATCAAAAACATAGTAAGTAAGAAATAATTTCCTGTCTCTGTACCTCGTTTCCAAAAACGACATGCTAATTCTGATAATTGTGGTATTTAGTGTTTGTTTTCGAGTTAAAGGCTTGAATTTCTCATAAAATGTCACAATACTGCTTGTAAATATTACACTGTTGCTGTTACTTTTTTTTTTGTAAAATTCAAATACGTATCTGTTCTCTGCATTTCTGAGAGGGAACGGCTGTGGTGAACCATGAGCCACAACTGAAGGTGTCCTCTTGATCATGAGCAAAGAGATCGGACACTAACTGATGTAGCAAAAAGGAAGAGTTTGGTAGAAAGCTATGGGCTACATCCTGAAAGTAAGAAGGAATCGAAGGACTGAGCAGAGGGCTTAGCCTCACCGATTCCCAGGCTCTACATCTCTGAGATCCTAAGTTTAAATTCCCAGGAGACCGAATGATCTCGGTAGTTTTGGTCAGTTCTCTCCTCCTGGAGCACCTACCTGTGGCTCAGGAAATAGTCACCCGGAAGAGGCTTGCGCGCTGATAACCTGCTTCTCTGCACAAACTGCGTTCTGGGACCGTGGAAAATACCCGAGCCGCTTGCTTGAATCCCTCCGTGTGTGACATTGTATTAATTTATGTTGACAAAGCTGCCTTTCACTGGCTTTGTTATTCAATACTTATAAAAATTACATAATGTACATATTTTGATCATTTGTTTTTTTTTTTTTTTTTTTTTTTGGTCTGGGGGTGGGGTGGGGATCTAACTCACGACCTTGCGCTTGTGAGGCACACACGGTGCCACTGACCTAAATTCCTGGCGCTTATTTGTTCGTTTTTAATCCTGGGGAAGGGAAGACGCTGGGAAGTCTACAGAGCACATAAACAGCAGAGTCTGCTGTCAACCAAAGGCCTCATTCTAAGTTTGCAGGAGGAAAGTCAAGCTTGGTAAAAAAAGAAAGAGCCAGTGAGGGGTTTTAAAGTAAACTTCGGAAAAATATTTTGTTAGGAAGTAGATATGTAATGTTAAATAGATGAGTGGCTCTCCCTACTCCTCCTCCTACCAGAAGCTGTCATTTTTTTTTGTCCTTTAATCTCTTTTAGATGTGCACATTGAACTGATTGCTTTTGATAATGAATAGTTGCTTTTCTGCAGGCAAAACACAGATCCACAAATTATTTTGCATCATTTGAGGTTCCAAGTTTCATCCCAAGGTTCTTGCCTGCCTATTTATTTCCTTAGAAAGGAGAAGAAAGGTAACAGCGATGACGAGGGAGTGAGGTCCAACAAAAGAGGCGGTGATGTTTGACTAAGCAGTGAACAACACAGCAACAAGGGAAAATGTTCTCCAAATGCCAGGTGCCTTTGTGTCCTTGCCTCCCACATCCTCAGGGTTCAGGATAGGAGAGATGATCTGGGAGCCTGAAGAATTCTAATTTTTCTCCATTGTCCAGGGGAGACCTTTGAAGGTGATATTAGACAGTAGATAAGAGACAATTAAAATATCACATCTTCCAGTTACAATATCTCCCACAATCTCCCTGTTGTTCTCCTTCATCCTGTTGTATTTTCAGGTTTTCTTTCTCATTAATGAGTGAATATTTGGAGTCTCTTCATAACTTATAGTGATGACAAATTAATTTAGAATTTCCATTGAGTGTTTACTGGTTAAAATAAGAAGCTTTTTAAAATCTTTATTAAATGTATTGGTACATTTTAGGTATACAGTACAGTTACATTCATCCTTGAGATCTTGTACCTTTATGTCTTATCAAGTTCTTATTTTTCCCATTCCCCAGCCCTCCCCTCAGCCTCTCTACCCTTCCCTGTTTACAAAGACTTTGTTTCCATGTTTTTCCTTTTCACATATTGTTTCTTTTTCCTTTTCACCTTTCTTTCCCCTATCCCTTCCACTTTCCCTACTCTTTTAGACCTTTTCTTCCTATTACACAATATCAATTATACATTTTGACCCTTATTTACACTTTTACTTTTTTCACACCAGAGAAATGATTCGGTATTTACACACGTGTGACATTAATTTCACTTAAGAGCATGGCCTCAGTGTGCATCCACTTAGCTATAAATCTAAGAATCTTGTTACCTTTGCTATTCGCCATTTTTAATGAAACAGAGAAAGCTGGCCTCAGCCTAACATTCAAGGGAATCTCTGAAAATGTATTATTGTGGAAAGGTAAGTGGAGAGAGCAGTGACATTTCTCCTACTCCACTCACAAATGTCTCCCAGAATTTCCCTGGGCTTCTTGATCATGAGGATGTTTTCTAGGAGGGAGCAGTGCCTTCCTCAGCTTCCTCCTCTGTCCCTAGCCAGTCAGCGACAAGGGAGACAACTAACTTTAGATGCACCCAGCGTTGCCTGTATCCTTTTGCTATTCATTTTTAACGTTCTTTTTGGTATGTGTGTTCACATCCTACTCTTTCTAATGCTTCTCAAAGGATGCCAAAGTTTAGGTCCATATAAGTCACAATTGCATCTTTTATATTCACTTTTTGGATTTCTGTATGTTATTTCAGTTGCTCACTTCAGTTGTTACCATTGATGTTAACTTTGTTTTTTTTTTCCTTTGAAATACTTCCAACATGTTGACATTATATAGTTTATAATTTGGGGTGGGTACTTTATCTCTTGTAAACTACGATCTGCCTTTCAGTTATACAGAAGGCAATGCCACTTTGGACATGGATTGTACATAGGATGAAGCAGGCAGTAATCCCCAGGCAGTGAACTAGAAGCCAGGTGATAGGAGGATGTTGTTAGGTTCGGAGTGTCCTGCAATCACTGTGTTTAGGCTGCCACAGTTCAGCTAGCACCTCTGGTGGTCACAGTTTTGTACTAATGGGTATAGATATTTGTGTCAAATATCAACCAAAGCTACTCCGTGAACTCTTTGTTACAGAAATAAAGAATAAGTATTTAGAAAATGTAGCAGATCACATCCATGCTTGGGATCAAGGGCCTACCCACTGGCTGGGCAGAGAACTTTGGGTATGTCAGACTCGCGTGTGTGAATTGTATACCAGACATGTAGTAAGACCACATTTGAGCCTGTGGTCAATTTGAAACAACAACAACAACAAAAACAACAACAACAATGATACTGTCCTTCCCCACTAAGACGTGGAGAGCACTGATGTAGATGATACTGCTTTGCATGATAAACAAGGCTTGCAGACCTCTGGGAGCCATACATGCAGGGCACCTCCAAAAGGACACACCCACAGGTGTAGTTGCTAAAACTATGCAAATGGAACACTTATGTTCGCCTTAAAGTTCCAGAGAAGAGGAAATGAGGGAATATGATTTTTTTTATGAGTATATGTTTGCAATACAAAATACGTACATTCATCTTGGGGAATTGGTAAATACATGAAATACGATTCTTTGCTAAAAAGAAAATGACAATAACTTGGGAGAGAAGAATCACAAAATTTCCACCCCAGGTATGATACTGTATAAACAGTATTTAGTTACTATTTCTTATTATAGAATACTTTGAAATTAGCGCAGAGAATGCCAGGTCTCATATGTGAGGGCATTGACTTGTGCTGTGGCTTGGGTCTAGATGTCTCCCCAAAGCCTCCTGTGGTCATGGGCTGGATCTAGAGTGTGTGAAGCTGGAGTTGATTCATGGTGCAGTGCTAGGCTCAAGGGCACTAGGATTGAGGGTGTGGGTGCTGCACACCCTGAGTAGTCTGAATACGATAAAAGGGGCAGGGAGACACTGTTAACTCTCACTACCTTTGCTGTCTTGTGTGTGCATGTTGTTTCTGCTTTGCCCTGCCTGTTTGCTGTCCCTGCCTTGGAGTTGTCTGATTATGGACTGAAACCTCTATCAACTGTAAGCCAAATAAACCCCTTCCCCTTTAACTTTGGGTGTCTGGTATTTTGTCTCAGCAACAAGAGAAAAGTAACTAACACAGCTTGGCTCTCCCCAGCTCTGGCCAGTAGAAGAGACCATCTAGGAGAAGAAGTTGATGCCAACTCTCATGGTGGAGGCAAATTGTTTTTCTTGTTTTCCAAACTCTTTGACATTTCCTACCTAGCAAAAACATACACTGTGGAGGTCACAGGGATTGACTACAGAAGTTATTTAAAGGAGCTACTTTCTTTGATGAAGAATTAAGTTACTTGACACTGAAATGTTTTTTTAAGATTGTGTAATATTATAAATATTAAGGAAGAAAGAAGCATTTTAAATAATTTCACAGTGTCCCACATGAAACAAATTTTTTTTTTTTTTGGTACTGGGATTGAACTCGGGCCCTTGCATGTGTGAGGCAGGCGGTGAAAGCCCTGAGCTAAATCCCCCATCCCCACCTGAAACAATTTAAACCATTCCATTTTAAATAAGCTAAAGCCAAAATTGGAGTGTACCTGATAAAAGCAAACAAAAGCTAAAATGACAACGATTTGCATAACTTTTGCGGAACCCCTTTATTTCAGGAAGTTCGTAAAAAGATACTTGGAGATGGAGGGCAGAAGTTCCGTACTCTACTTTGGCAAGTTCCGTGCTGAAGGTCCTGAGCAACATCTTCTCTTCGGGTCATGTTGGGATGGAGCGCAATGAGCACTCTTCATCGGGAAACCCTAAAATAGAAAGAATAAATACCTACGGTCAGGCAGATTCGAATCAAAGTCTTTCAGGTGTAAATACAGCCCCTGATTTCAAAAGGGAGTTGGGAGATTAAAAGATAAGCCTTAACATTTATGAAGTGCTCTGAGTCCCTGTGGGAAGAAGCGTTTATTTGGCACGACGGCAGTGACGATATCTGACTTTTTACAGAGTAGTTTTGGCTAATGTATTCGGATTTTGGTAAACCCTGTAGAAGATACTAGAAGGAATCATGAAAGCATCGCTTTTCAAACGCATAGTCCTGTTTCTAATCTTGTGAAACTCTAGCACTTTGAGGTAAGAGAGATATTTACATCTACTTAAGATAAGTTTGATACTATTAACCAAATATAAAAGCAGAAGTGTACATGTCATTGAGGAGGGACATCCGGAAATGCTGCCTTCCAAATGTAACTTTGTATTTCTGTCTAAACACAAGGAAATGTGCCTTTTGTGGAAATAAGATGAGATGGAGGTAGAGGGGGAGAGGGAGAGGGAGAGAGGGAGAGAGGGAGGGGAGAGGGAGAGGGAGGGGGATCCCACACAAGACAGTATAATCAAAATTGCATGGCAGACAATAAGATTATTATAGGAAGTGTGAATTATTCTTCATTCCTATCACTTTCTGTAACAGCAAAATGAGCTCATTTTGAGGCTGTTCTTAATTTAGTATCTGCAATAATGGAAAATGATAGTCTTTCCTACAACAAAACCTCAAGTTATTAAAAAACTTACATAACTTCCTACTTCAAGTGTGGAACACAGGAACAACATCATATCCCTAGGATTTAGGAATCGGCTGTTCTTATGAGTAGACGTTTTGAGTCACTAAATTTGAAATTTGCAGCATGGACGATTACTTCTGCATTTTTGAAAGAAGAATGCAAAGAGAGAAAGGAGACAGAACACAAAAGACTTAACACTGAGGAGGAGGTTAAACTTCCAGGGGCTTTTGTTTGATATTCTGCATCTCCTCTAGTAGACCTGGGTTCCTCGTGATGCTGCAAAACATTGATTTTAGCTTCGTCGTTGTCTTGTTGTCTCAGAAGGCTTGATTCCCCTTTATTCATTTATTAAAGTTCTGTACTGCATATGGGAAATTGTGCATCAGAAATGTGGAATAGGGCCCTGAACAAAATCTTGATGCTATAGAGAACCTAAAGGAATATTTCTTAATGACTTTGCTTGTATATGTCACTGGGCGGGGGATGTAGCTCAGTGTAGGCTGCTTGCCTGGAGTGTGTGAAACTCTGGGTCCAGTCTCCAGCAGCGCACACACACACACACACACACACACACACACACACACACACAGTCATCCAGTTGAAAACTTCATACCTACATTTACGTGTAGTAGGCCCCAATCACTAAATAAATGGCACCCAACGCACACTAAATTCCTAGTAAGTATGGGAGTCACTAAATATTTGAACTTGAAGGAGATAGATTAGCCATTAGCTCATGAAAACTCAAAACACTTCAAAGTTTAAAATAAACCCTCAGGACAAACAAACCATGAAAACAAAATTAAACCATTTTATCTTCCAGCATAATGTTCTCAGAATCTATGGACAATGAAAATAATTATTAGGTAAACTTTGAAGCCTAATGATGTTAGAGCAACTGTGTATAAACAAGCGAAGAATCAGTAGGAAAGCATTAAAGGTACTTTAGAATAATCTCTTGAGGTCTCATTAGTGGTTAAAGAGGCTGAAATTGTTAGTCTACAGAAATCTGTAATGGAGTTTGAAACAGCATAGCTGTGTCTAAAAATACTTTCACAGAAAAGTATTAAAATGTTGTACATATTTCCTTGGATCCAAAGGAGCCCTTGCTACCCAGTTGGCCTTTTCTGTTAAAAGAATGACCCCCAAAAAGAATTCCATGTTTCACAATTTCAGAATAATTTCGCATGTCATCAGTTTCTCCTGCCTGGTACATATTGTCACTTACATCGTGGGAAGGGATCAGCTGGCCCATCCCTCTGTTCTGAGGAGCATGGGTGATAATTTGTCTGTGAATCGGAGGTGAATAGGGTTAGATTCTCAGGCTGTAAGGAAAAAGGCTGCATCCCACAGGATTTCATCAGCAGTTCTCCGTGAATCGGGAGAGGTGATATTTTGAAATCCAACAGGTGTGTGTCTGTAAATAGCACACTTCTTTTTTTGGTGACTGTTTTCCTGGTATTTCTCTTTCTTAAATTGTGTTGGACCATAGAATACTTGCTGAGAGATAATTCTTTTCCAAAATATGCGATTGCTGGGGCAAGCCAAGACTATTCCCAGATCTTCTGGCAGTCAGTATGCAAAGATGACACTGGGGCTCTTCTGACAATTCTGGAGATGCAGGGCAAGCTATTCAATAGCAGCTCTGGGTCCTTGAAAACAATTTCTGTCTAAAGAGTTGAATAATAGAAATGTATATCCTCCTTCCTTAGTGTTTCTATGTCATCTGAGATATTAATTTATGATAGAATATTGAAAGAGTATAGTGCCTTTGTAAAGAAATTCTTTAACTTCAAAATCATATGGTGGAAGAAATAAAAGTGACATCATATTTTTTAAAAGAATGATTACTTTATTTTTAGGTGTTATGATAGTACCTACTCTTAAATGTTTCAGTTTGTATTAGTTCCCGCTTCAGGCCTCTGTTGTATTTATTTTATCTTGGCTGAGATCCATACACAGAAAACAGAAATGTTGCTGCTTTTTTTTTCCTTTCTGGAGGCAGAAACGTATTCAATATACCACATCAGTATTATAAAAGATGAAAATAAGTTGACACATTTGTTCTATGTGGTCATAAATCTGCTATGAAATGTTTGACTATTTAAATGTCTTAAGATTCTATATAGTCAAAAGAAGAGTCATACAAGTGCTACCTGGTCTTATCTTCCCTCTCTTGCTCTCTTTGATTTTACTTTTCAATTTGATGTTGATCTTCTTTCACTTCTGATTTAATTTCCTTTAGGGCTTTGTAGGCTTTTGTAGGAAATTGCTTTATGTGTTTCTATATGGGAATAAAACACCTTTAAAATAACATTTTCCAACTTAAAAGTTGCACGTGGCTATAACTTTGGAAAACAGAAAACTTGAAAGAAGTACACTGGACCCTTGAGTTACAACTGGCTTGACATACGAACAACTTGGGTTACGGCTGGAATTTTAGTTTTAACTTATGAACAAAGTCTTGAATTATGACCTGATTTAACCCTTAAATAGTTCCAGAAGGAACATTACATCATCCTTTCCTGGGAGGGGTGCATTGAGGAATCCTGGGCCGGTGTCTCTTTAGGGACACTGAGATCTGCCTGTGTACGGGAGAGAGACTGAAGGCTGTGCAGAGTAGCCTGAGCCTTCATTAACCGACTTGAGTTACAACCAGCCCTTGGGGATGAATTGAGTTCGTAAGTCAAGGGTCCACTGTGAATTATCATGCTGCTTCTACTACCTAGTGTCTTTGTGCATATGTAAGGTATAAATCTGGGTATAATCCATTTGGCCTTCCTGTATCTGTGGATTCAACCAATTGGGATTAAAAATATTTGACAATTTTGTCCATACTGAATACATAGACTTTTTTCTTATCATTTCTCCCTGAACAGTGGAGGATGACAACTATTTTCATAGCATTTACATTGCATTGTAAGTAATGTAAAGGTGACTTCGGTGTATGGGAGAATGTGCACAGGTTATATACCAATCCTACACCATTATATATAAAGGAGTTGAGCACTCGTGGATGTTGATACCTGTGAGATCTCTGGAACCAATGGCCCACTGATACTGGGGGATGATTGGGTGCTTTTTCATTCATAGAAAATATGAAATACATATGATACATAAATATTTAGTCTGTTTGTGTTCACTTAATGTTCTATTACTGTCATGCACTGTAGTGGCCACACACTCCCTACTGGTCCTCCCACGGAGGGACACAGTCTGTTGTCCTTCTTCTTGAAATGGGACTGGCCTGGGATTCGTGCAAATGAAACACAGCAGCAGAAGTGATGCCATGTAACTGCCTAGAGCAGGTCTCAAAAGATCTGCAGCTCCACGTTGCTGCTTTTTGGATTTTCTGTCCCATTCTCTGAAGAAGTCTAAAGAGCCTTATGGGGAGGTTCATGAGAAGCGCCATCTGGGGCCTTTTAGCCCTTCCAGAATCCTTGTCAGGAAATTACAAAGCAGAACTGCAAGGTCTGCCCACAGAGCTGTGGGAGATAACCTGCGATTGCTTCAAGAAATGGAGTTTTGAGGTAGTTTTTAGACAAGGGGTAAACTAAAAATATGGTAAATATTTAAATTAAAACAATCTGTTACAGTAAAAGACACATTGCCACGAATCCCTTGAAACACACTTACCCATCATTCTTGCCACTGTCCCCTCCCCATTAATGTTATTGGTACATTCTAGGTACACAGTACAGTTACACTCATCATTGGGATCTTGTACCTTACATGACAGGTCTTGGTTCTTATTTTTTCCCCTACCCCGGCCCTTCCTTTACCCCCTCCTTCCTTCCCTATTTACAAAGACTTTGTTTCCATTTTTCCTCTTTTCACATTTTTTTCTTTCCCTTACTTCCTTTCCCCTCCCCTTCCCACTTCCCCTTTAGCCATTTTCTTCCTCTTTCACACTACCAGTTATACCATTTGAACCTTATTTACACTTTTAGTTTTTCATACCAGAGAAACTATTTGGTATTTATTCAAGTGTGTCCTATTTATTTTACTTAAGAGTATGGCCTCCATGTGCATCCATTTAGCTATAAATGTCTCTGGTTTCTCCTTCTTTATGGCTGTGTAGTGCTCCATTTTATAGGAAAACCACATCTGTATCCACTTTTGCCACTTTCTGAAGCAGCTCTGGCAGTCCTCTTTCATGAGTGTCTTTATGAGGTGTGATAAAAAGTTGGTGACTGCTGCTGCTGAGTGCATACCATAGAAAGGCAGGCTTGTAAAAACATGACAGGGTCTTCATCCACCTCACCCACTGGATCTGGCAGCATGAGACTGCTGGCTCTTGTCCACAGTCAAAATAACCATGGTATGTCAATGTTTTGAATGGATTCAGGACACAGGCAGCCAGGTCAGTGCAACTAAAGACATTCATGAAGGAAGATTTCCAGAACTGCTGTAGAAAGAGGCAAGAACGTCTTGTTCTTCGAATATGTGTGTTCAAAGCGAGAGGTGTATTTTGAGGAGTATTAACCACAATGTGTCTTTTACCGGAATAATTTAAAAAAATTGAAACCTGCATTGTGTTTTTGATTATACCTCATACAGCAACCTGACTGAAATGATCCTATTCTCATATTATTAAAAGTGTTATAAGCATAATTTCAGCAGCTTCATAATACTGTATTTCAGTAGCTATCTATGTGAATCTTCACCATTTCTCTATTGTTAGACATTAAAGTTCTCTTTTCTATTATGAATAATGCTATGAAATAATATTTTTATGCATAAATCTGAAGATGAAATTAGGACTGTTTCCTCAACTTGGCACCCTGGAACGAGAAATAATGTTAGCCTCTGTAAGACCATTGGTAAAGATTTCTAAATTGCATTGCATAAGGGTCGGACCAATTCACGGCATCTCTTCACCATTATTAGATTAGCCCTGAAAACAAGCACTGAGGAAACAAGATAGTGAGCATGAAGTCATCACAAAACCAAAGCATGTTACTAGTTTAATAGGTAAAAATGATGCTTTAAGTTACAGTTCTTCTGTAGTGAGCTTAAACTACTTAAATATTTAACAACTGCTTTCTATTTTATCATCAAATTGTATATTACTATTATTTGCCATTAAAATTGCAGTAGTATTATTTTTTTTTTACAGATTTGTGAGAGCTCTTTGTTTTTAAAGATGTTAATTTTTATGGTTCTGGAAAATACTTTGTAGAGCTTATTATTTGCATATTAATTTTTGTCCGTTGTAGTTTTGATTTATGTAAGTTTAAAACTCTTACTTATTCTTACTGAGTTGCTTCTATGGTGATTTTTCTTGCCTTTAAATTTAAATGTTCCTTTTCCTGCAGCATTTTAAATCATTTAGGAGAAGGTAATTTACATTCCAAGTGTAAGTCGAGTGTTTTAAAACTTCTCCCATTTTCCTCTTTTCTTGTGTTCGTATTTCCTTCCAAAACTTCTTCTGTTTAATTTGTGCTTTGCGCTGAAAGTTTTTCGGGCTAGTCATGATCCATTTTTGTAAATATTTGATTTAGGAAAGGATTTTCTATTTCTGGGGTTACAAAGTTCGGTATATATTAATGTAACTTGATTATGTAATTCAATTCTTCCATGCCCTTATTTATTTTGTATTGAATTGATTTGTCATAGATTGATAGCGGTGTGTTAAAATATCTCATGATTGCATAACTGTCATTTCTGCTTTCATTTGTAATGGTTTTTACTTTATATGGCTTGATGTCATATTGTTTAGCACAAAAGATTCGTGCCTTTGTCTCAGTCATTCACCCATTTAACATTTATCAAGTGCTAGAGATAAAAAAGCACGGGTCATTCATTCCTCTCAACGAGCTCGAAGAGCTGTAGGCAAACTTACAGAAGAGCGGAAATCCGGTTAGGGAGGAGCGGTGGGAGGCTGGGAGAGGGAGGGCTGCCTCATTTAGCCAAAGTGGTCCTCTGACTTGTTTCATGATCTCATCTGGAATTTTACTTCATCTCGTAATTCTGCCACCACTAAATCCCCATTCTTTTATAAGCTACTTATAACTGTTTTTTTGGGGGGGCGATACTGGGTATGGAATCGGGTCCTTGCGCTTGTGAGGCAGGCGGCAGAACCACTGAACTAAACCCCCAGACCTATAACTGAGTTTGTGAGTTAAGTCTAAACGTCTGGCTTTCATTCAAACCAACACTGGGGTAATTTAACAAACCCTTACCGAGCTCCTACTACCCGTCAGGCCCTGGGCTACGTCTGGGGCTAGAGAGGCAAAGCCAGTCCTCCAGGAGCTTTCTCTGCAGGAGGGAACATAGAGACCGAGCGTGCTCGGACCCGCAGGAGGAGCGCTCGGTGCAGAGCCCTGAAAGTTGAGCGGGAGCCATGGATCAGAAGGAGGAGGTTGGGGTGTGTGTTTCAGAAAGAACGCAGGAGAAGCAGTGCCGGCCATTCGAGGGTCAGAGTGCGGTTCAGTATTTGGAGCCCTCGGACTGTGGGGCAAAGGGTGGGGCTGGGGGTGGAGGCAGAGAGATGGGGTGGATCGTGCGAATCCCACAGGGAGGTTCAGTTTCAGGCCGAAGGTGCGCGTCGCCTACGTCATTTTACTGATGGGAGGGGATTTGCTCCTGAGCGGTTCCGTGGGGACAGCGTCTCGCTCTGGTTCCTGTTGCTGGTACTGATTACCACGACTGCATACCTGGCGCTGCTACCACGCTAGTCCCAGTTTCTTGCACTGCATAACTGATCTTTTAATTTTGACTTGGCTTCAAACAGCTTCTCTTCTTTAGCGTCTGCTTTTAACTTGAGCATTTCTGTAATTTCAAGTTGTAGTCTACAGATGAAAATGCCGCATCGATGCGGATTGTCTTCACTAGAACAGAAGGCATTTTTTCCCGCGAGAATTCTCAAAGGGCACTAGACATGCTCATGCGTTCACGGCCTGTTGTGTCCTGGCTCTCAGCTTCTGATCCCTTCTGAAATCTGGTCCTGGTGAGCACTTCTGTACTTGCGACATCTTAGGGGGCTTAAAGGAAAGACTATGAGGCTAGGGGGTCTTACTGAACAACTTTTGAAGATTTGTTATAATATACAAATAGGCCATATACTCATACTTAAGGCTTACGAAGGAAACTAATTTAAAAAAAATCTTACCTTATTTCTACCTGTATCTCGTCACTCCTGCCGTCTCTATGACAACTCACATTCCTTAAGGAAATGCCACAGCCACTGACAACAGAGCAAAGTTGAGGACTCTGATGTTTGTTTTTTTGTATATAGTCTTCCATTATTATATAAGTACTATTTCACCAATATGGGCTGTGACATTCATGATGTCACTACCAACTATTCCAACTACCCAGGACCAATCGCAACGTATTATTCCTGAAAATCTGTATTAAGAACTCCAAATACTTAGGTTTTATGTATCAAACAAGTTCAAACAAAGTAATAGCTACGAAAGCCTCAATACACTACAGGAGAAAGATGCACTATGTAGTGAGAGATAATAGGGGCTAGAAAAATAAAAGAAAGTCATTAGAAAAATTAAGATTCTGTTAAGCAGAATGACATTCCATCTTGAATTTGCAGATTCAGTGTTGTTAAGATGTAAATACTGATCAACACCATCTACAGTAAAAATCTCCCTCAGAATCCCATTGATTTTTCTTTATGTTTGCAGAGATGGAAAAATCTACCCTAAACTGATCTTGGATAGTAAATTTAAAAACTCTGGAAAAGAAGAGCAAATTCTCATACTCCAAAATTTACTACAAAACTATAATAAATCAGTGTGGTATGGGAATAAAGATAGACATATAAACCTATGGGACAAAATAGAAATCCCAGAAATAAACCTTCACTTATGTGGTAAACGATTTTCAGCAAGAGTCTCAAAATAATTCATTGAGGAAGAACAGATACTCTCTCCAACAACTGGTGTATAATCTGGCAATTCCACTTCAGTTATGTAAAGAATTGAAAGTAGGAACTTGAAGAGATTTTTGTATATTCATGTGGATGGCACCATTATTTGGAACAACCAACGGATAGAAGCCATCCAAGTGACTGCTGGTGAATTAACGGTTACCTGAAAATATGCAGTGAAATATTCAGCCTTGAAAAGAAAATTCTGACATGCTACAATGTGGATGAACCTGAAGATATTGTACGCAGGGGAACAAGCCCGTCACAAGGAGACAAATACCACATGACCCCGCCTAGGCGAGTGGGACAATGGTGCTGACCAGGGCATGGGAAGAGAGAGAAACTGGGCTCCTGCAGTGGGTGTGAAGTTTCAGTTCAGCAAGTTGAAGAGCTCTGCAGCAGTGATCACACAACAATGTGAGTGTTCTTAATGCCCCTGACCTCCGTCTGCACGGTTACCATGGTAAAGTTTGTGTTTTACCACAGTGAAAAAAAATGGAGTTGTTAGCTCTGTATCAAGTTCTTTCGGGCATAAGGAAGAATATTAAATATATGGCGATGGTACAGAGGACCAGGGAGAGTAAGATATTCAATTCTTTTCTGCCATTCTACATAGTTCACACCCCGAACCCACAGAATATTAAATTTTGCTATGACTAAAATTAGCTCTTTGGAACAAATCGCAGGTAGTAATGTGATTGGCTAACGGGCAAGTCACGTGTTCTGCTGCGGACAAATCCTCACAGCTCTGGCTGGCTCAGTGTGGCCCTGTGAGGCCCGGGGCAGGTGGGCTATGCAGAGCAAGGTTTCATTCTGGGAGGGAAGGGGTGGGAACTTACAACGTGAATTTTGAGACAAAACACATTCGATGTAAATATGTTGAAAGTACAGAGAAGTACGTATAGTGATAAGAAAAACCCCCACACTCTCACAGAGCAGAGAGAGCCTTGGTGTATGTGTCTTCTAAGGATTTAGTTCCTTGTGTTCGTCGTCCTGAAAGGCTTTAGTGTACACTTTTAATGTTTTGACAATGTAATAGTAGATATTGATTATCTTTCCATGTTGGAAAAAATAATTCTTTTCTATCAGTAGAATTGGTTTGTGGAATACTTCATGAAAGGGGTGAACCAAAGCCATTTATTACTTTCCCATTTCCAGAACTCTGACCTAACCTTACACTAGTAACGTGTGCTGCTCTATGTTGTAGAAAGATCATGCCGTGCCTTGAGTCAGATTTAACTCTGTCGCTTTCCCACTCAAATGCGTCGTGCAGATCACTTAATTTTTCTGTCTCATTTTCTTTACTGTAAACAGTGGCAATGATAACTATAAAGCTTATACGTATGGAAAGCTTACCACACAGTAGGTATGGGCCCGAGTGCTTTTATACACCTGACATCAAAGTTTAAACACATTGAAAACCAAAAGTGTAAATAAGGTTCAATTGGTGGAACTGGTAATGTGAAATAGGAAGAAAAGGTCTAAAGGAGAAGGGGAAGTGGGAAGGGTATGGAAAAGGAAAGAAGGGAAAAGAAAAAAAATATGAAAAAAGAAAAAATGGAAACAAAGTCTTTGTAATTAGGAAGGGTGGAGGGCGTGAAGGGAGGGCAGGGAATGGGGAAAAATAAGAACCAAGATCTCTCATGTAAAGGTACAAGATCCCAATGATGAATGTAACTGTATTGTGTACCTAAAAAGAACCAATAAACTCAAAGGAAAAAAGAAGTTTAAACACATAAAGTAGGTAGGTACTGCTATTCCTACCATGTCTCAGATGCGCCTTGAGATTTTGCTCTTACATGAAGTAAATCGGACACACACGTTTAAATATCACATTGTTTCTCTGGTGTGAGAAACTGAAAGTGGAAATAAAGACCAAAATGTATGATAGATTCTGGGAAATGGGAAGGAAATGTTCAAATGAGAAGGGGAAAAAAGGAGGCCAGAGAGGGAAAGGAAAGAATGCACAAGACAAAAAAAAAAAAAAAAAAACCCAAAAAAACATGATAATTGTTATCCAGATATCCTTAGTCACTTCCAAAAAGGATTGTACCCTAAAACCCCATAATTAATGATTAATTAAAATAAAGGAAAGCAAATAAAATTTTACCACTGATAATGATATTAAGTTAGAATATAGAGCATGATGAATCAGATCATTTTTTTATAGAAAAGATCGAGCAGTCTTTCCATCCAAGGAGAGCAGAGATAGAAAAGAGTTAACACGCGCTTTTCAAAACTTCCCTCACCGATGGCTGCGGCCTTCATGACAAATTGATCATGAACTCTCCTCGCTGGACCTGTGCTTCCTTCCCGGAACTCGAGGCATCTTCACCAATCAACTGGATCCGGCACTTGAGACAAAATGTCACCAACCTCCCCGAGGTTCGCAATCCTCTTTCAGAAAAGGACTTGAAATATAGATTATGTGACTTGGCTCAAGGAGCTCCACAGGGCTGTGACTCTATCCTGTATTGGAATCTGTCCATCTCTGGAGTCCTTTATTTCACGGTTTATATTCTTTCACTATATTAGATTTGGGAGGTTTAGTAGGAATTTCTCCATATAGTGTTCATTTGACAAATATTTGGAGTGACAGGATCAATACTAAGCACAAAATGATTTTTATTAGAAACACATGGAGGCATGTTAACTATTGTAGAAATCACTAGATGATATTTCTCACAAATTCATAAGCTCTTTTTTTTGTTTTTTGAGACAGGGTCTCACTATGTAGTTGAGACTGACCTGGAACTCACTATGTAGCCCAGGCTGGTCTCGAACTCAGAGCGATCCTCCCGCCTCAGCCTCCAGAGTGCTGGGATTATAGGCGTGTGCTACCACGCCTAGCTATAACTCTTTTTATCTGTTGTTTAATTTCGTGGACTAGAATTTTGTTGACAGTTTTTGTATCTATATGGTTTTATTTTTGCATGATGTTAGTTTGGCTTTGATGACAAGGAAATACTTGCTTCATTACATGAGTTGAGAATTGTTTTCCTCTGCTTGTTTGTGAAGAATTGCTATTAAGTATTCTTTAAATATTTCGGGTCTTTTTTTTTTTTTTTTTTTTTTTTTTTTTTATCAAATTTGGGACCTTGTGCTTGCAAGGCACTGAGCTGAATCCCTGGCCCTGTATTCTTTAAATATTTAATATAATATATCAATGAAGCTATCTGGGCATAGGGTTTTCTTTTTATTTTAGGATTTTCTTTATAGTATTTTTTTTTTCTAATTCAATATTGTCACTCAAGTCTGCTCGGATTGTCTATTTATTCTAGAGTCCATTCTATTAGTTTGTGTCTTTCTAGGAGTTTATCCACTTAATCTGAATGATTTAAGTTATTGGCATGCACTTTTTTGTAGAAGTCCTTTATTGTTTAAAAAAAATTCTGTAAAGGTTTTCCTCTTTCATTTATAATTCCATTAGCTTTGTTTAATATCTTGGTCAATCAAGCTAATGACTTGTCAATTATGTTGATCTTTTCAAAGAGGAGCTTTTGGTTTCATTGTTTTAATGCTAATCAATATTATTTACTTTTTTGCTTTTTAAATTTAGTATGCTGTTATTTTTCTAGTGTCTTAGAAAAAGATTATGTGATTTGAGAACTTCTTCTTTTAATACTGGTGTTTCTAGGCATGTATTTCCCTCAGAGATTGTTTTAGGTACATCCCAGGAATGTTTCTATGTTCTTCATTTTAATTCATCTTAAAGTAAGTTTAATTTTACATTTTATTTCTTTTTTGATCAGTAGTTAGTATCAATATGTAATGTATAATTTTTAGATATTTATGAGTTTCCTAAAATTTTTTTCTGTTACTGATTTCTAATTTCACTTCCCTGTGGTCAGAGAAGATATTTTGTATTTTTTCTATCCTGTAAAATTTATTTTGATTTGTTCTATGGCTGAGCACATACTATACCCTGGAAAATATTCCCTGTGTACTTGGGAAGAATGTCTACTAAGAATGTACACACATACATATATGTCATAGTGGGGCACACCTGTAAGCCCAGCACTCTGGGAGGCTGAGGCAGGAGAAACACAAGCTTGAGCCCAGTCTGTGCAACTCGGTGACTTAGTGAGACCCTGTCTCACACAAAAAATATTCAAACAGGACTGGTGATGTAGCTCAGTGTGGAGCCTAAGTTCAGTCCCCCGTACCACACACACACACACACACACACACACGCACAAAGAATATATACTGTTGTAGTTGGAAGGAATGTTCTACAAATGCCTATTATGTCTAATTGATTTGTGGTATTATTAAAGCCTTATATTTAATTTTTGGTAATCTGCACAGTTGTTTTATCCATTATTTAAAGTGGGATGCTGAAGCTTGCAACTCTAAGTGTTGATTTGCCCATTTACCCATTTGTTTCTGACAGTCTTTGCTTTTTGTATTTTGATGCTCTATTATGTGTTATAATTATGTCTTCATAATACCTCATCTCTTTATATTTGCAAAACGTTCCTCTATTTTAGTATCATTTTTTTTTTTTTTGGTTTGAAGAACATCTTGTTTGATAGCTGTATAGTGCTTCAGTTTTCTTTTAGTTGGTGTTTGCCTAATATATTTTTTTCTATCCTTTTACTTTCAGACTTTGGGATCTGTACATCTAAAATGTATGTCTAGTAGGTATCATGTATGTGAATCAAATATGACAATCTCTGCTTTGTATTGTATGCATGTACATATAAACACACACATACAATTTTATGATTGCTTTTGAGGTCAAAGAAGGAAAAGAGAAAAAATACTTTATTCTGTATATTTTAATTATCTAATTAATTATCTTTTCTGGTGCTCTATACAATTTTTATTAGTGTGTAATAGTAATACAAACAAATGAAGTTCGTTTCAGGGATTCAGCACCTGCATTTTAACATTATTGATTGTTTAAAATTACATTAACCCTCACCTCCTTATCTCCCTCTTTGCACTGGTCCTCTTCTCTCTCTTCCAGTTTACCTTCTAATTTCCTGGCATCTCTCTTACATTAAATTCATTTATTCATTTGTTTATAGGTTTCTCTAATAGGAGGCAATGGGACATATAACGTTGTGAGTCCCGCTTATTCTGCTTGGCACAATGGTCTTGCATTTTATACATTTTTCTGCAGATGACGTGATTCACTTTTCTTTGTGGCTGGATAATATTCTGCTGTGAGAATATGCCATCTTGTCCTTATTCATTCATCTGTGGATGGACATCCAGGCTGTCCCAGCACTGGGCCATTGTGAATGGTGCCACTATAAACATGGATATTTGTGTATTAGTATAGTATGTTGTCTTGCAATTCTTTCATGAATATACCCAGAAGAGGTACATGTGGATCAAATGATATTTCTATTCTTAGTTTTTGAGACATCTCCATACAGTTTCCGGAGTGGTGATACTGGTTTACATTACTACCAAAAACATAGAAGAATTCCTTTTTTATTTTTTGTGCAGGCTTGCCAGCATTTGTTATTTGATTTCTTGATAATAGCCACTCTTTCAGGAATAAGAAGAAATCACAGTGTTGTTTTAATTTGCATTTCTCTCTGGAAGAATGATGTTGAATGTTTATTTCATGTATTTATTGGCCAATTGTATTTCTTCTGTATCTATTTAATAACTAATTTTTAATTGGAGTTTTACTTTGGAGTTCTATTTTTTGGAATTCTTTATATATTCTGTTATCTTCTAAGTATTAGTCCTCTATCCAAGGAGTAGATGGTAAAAAAGTTTTCAGTTCTGTAGGTTGTCTCTTCCTGCTTTTGGTTGTTTCTTTTGTTAGGCAGAATTTTTTTAACTTGGTATAATCCCACTTGTTAATTTGTGTTTTGTCTTCCAGCAAGTTAAATGTTTCTGCTTCAGTGTCTAGGTCATAATCCATTTTTATTTTAGTAAATGGTGAGAGATAAGGTCTGAATTCAATCTCATGCACCTGTGTAAGCAGTTTGCACAGCACCCTTTGTTGAAAAGGCTGTCTTTCCTCCAGTGTGTGGCTTTTGCCCTTTTGTCAAAGATCAGGTGACCAAAGGTGCCTGAGATCCTTTCTGCATCTTCTGTTCTGTGTCACTGACCTACGTGTCTGTTTTGGTGCCAGTACCATGCTGCTTTTATCACTGTAGCTTTGTAATATAGCTTAAAATGGGCCAGGGATTTAGCTCAGTGTTGCTGCCACCTGCCTCATAAGCTCAAGGTCCTGAGTTCAATCCCTGGTGCCAAAGCAAACAAACAAACAAACAAATATAATTTGAAATGTGGAATTATGATGCCTCCTACTTTGCTTTTGTTGCTCAGGATTGCTTTTGCTCTTCTGGGTCTCTTCTTGTTCCACACAAATTTTAGTGTTGTTTTTGCTAGTTCTGTGGGGAATGTTGTTGGTATTTTCATGGAGTTCACATTAACTCTCTATATAAGTTTTGATAGTCTGGTCTGTTTGGCAATATTGGTTCTGCCTATCCATGAGGCATTGATGGGGAGGAAAGAAAAAACTGAATGGTTTTGTATACAATGGCTTTACCAAATGGATTATATATAAAACAGGAAAAGAAACAAAGAAACTAGGTTGAAAGGGTTGTATAACTAAACAGATAGTGATATTAATGAACAAATGGTCAGCAAGCTAGAAAAAGACAAATAAAAACTAATGGAGCTAACCGAAATGATTCAAAATATGAAGGACCACCTTAGAAAAGAATTATAGTGCATGAAAAGGAGCCAAGCAGTAATCCAGGAGAGAAAGCAGTCTGTTGGAAGTGGGGGAGCAGCCATGACCAACATGAGGAGACAGTCAGATCTGGAAGATGGGGCTCAGGCAGGTGACCATATACTCAGAGATACCTTGAAAACGACAAGGCAGCAGAAAAAATGGCCCCAGGAGCTGCTAGGTGACACCAGGGGTCATACTGTTGATTTACCATTTCAATTTGTTCTTTCCTTATGTTTCTATCTTTATTAATATTCTCTGTTTAATACAGTATTGCCACTTAACCCTGGTTGCCTTTAGTTCTATGAATCTGTTTCTCGTGGTTACTTTGGTTTCATCGTCCAATCAACCTACCATCTGGTTCTCTTATAGGAAACTTCTTTTGCCTGCTTCTTTTCTGGTGTCTGGATAATATGTTCCTATTTCTTTATTTTTTGTTGTTGTTGTTGTTGGAAATTTTAGATAATGTACTGCTGCAGCTTGGTACTGGTTCTCTCTGGCTCCAGAGCTTGTTTTTAAAATTCACTTATGTTTTTGTGTAATGACTGGCTAGATTGCTTTAGTGATGTCGTTCTCCCTCCTCCAAAGTTTTTGATGCTATTCCCCAGGGAGGGGAAGCCTTGGGTACACTTGTAGTCACCACTGTACGACAGTGTTCACTTCCTGGTTTTTTTTCCCTTTCATGACACCCAAGTGTTAAATGCCATTAAATATAACCATGCCACTCTTTTGTTCTCAACACTGTCCTGGAATATAAGGTGTTCTGAAAGTAATCAAATCAAGCTCTAGCTCCTTTGGAAGAATAATTCCAAGCGGAATAGTTGGTGTTTGCTATTCATTCTGATCTCAACACCTCTGTAACTTACCGCAGGAGAGGGCTTTTTTCCACTTGCAGTTGCATAGTCGGTGGTGGGCTGGTTCCAAGGGGGAAGTGTGGCGAGGGAAAGGGCCTGGTGGAGCAAAGCTGCTCACCGCATGGCAGCTAGGAAACAGGGAGAAGAGAGGAGCCAGGGACAAGAATAGACCATTCCAGGTCGCGACCCTCAGGGACGCGCCTCTTCCGACCTCACCTCCGGGCAGTCACGCCAGCCTCTGAACTCATCCCTGACCAATGTGCTGTGAGTGTGACGTCTTCACGATCCAATCACCTTCCAAAGCAGGAGGCTCTGGGGGACCTTTAGATCTAAACCGCGACACCAGATGACAGAAAAGTTGAGCCTTTTTTTATATACGTGTTTTGCCCCTGAATATGTTCCTCAGTGAGGCGTCTTTTCAGACTATTTGCCTATTTTTAAATTGGGTATTCTTTTTCTTATTGTTGAGTTTTAAGAGTTTTTAATTTTTGTAGATTCTGGATAAATCTTTTATCAGATATGTCTTGTTCAAATATTTTCTCCCAGTCCGTGGCTTCTCTCCCAATGTCCTGACAGTGTCTTTCCAAGAGCTGAAGGAGCCTGTGTTCTAGTAATGGAGATCTGCTTTAAGGCAGCCGCAAAACCGAGTCTGCTTTCTGCACGTTTAAGACTCCCAGAGATCAGTGTTAAAGGGAGACGATAAGAAGTGCCCAGAAATGTCCTCTGAGGAAAAGCTAAGGACAGAGAGAAAAGTGAGCGATGTAGATTTTCGCCTTTCTTCTCATGCGCACGACTTATGATCGGGCAGGCGGTGAGCCCTCACCCTCAGGTACTCGGGGCTGAGAGCAGAGAGGGACAAGCGAGCAACAGGGCCAGCGGCCCAGTGAGGAGGGTCCCAGCTCTGTGCTCACTGTGCGCTTCTGCACGTCCGACACACCTGCACGGTTACCTGCTTCGGAGGCTGCTTCGAGGGTTACGTGACGCGGTGTGGGCACCTCGCGCCCGTCGTGCTCGCTTCCCTGCCTCTCTCAGGTCTCCCCTTTGTGGAGAGAGTCGGGACTGAGGAGAAATTGGCGTTACATTTTTTTTTTTTTGTACGAGTGATCCAATAACAATTTTAACCATACATAGTGACTCTCGGTGACCATGTACATCACACACTTGTGTGTCTTTATTAAAGAAGAATTCCACCATAAGTCCCTTCTGTTCAACAGTGTGTGTCCAGGAGGCCCATCTGAAAAGAACCAGTGAGGATGCGGAACTTAGTTTTAATAAAACAAGACTCTGGATGACTAGAAGGCAAAACCCCAAATAGTAGTTCCAGAGGTCATGATAAATGAAATAGGAAAGCAATCAAAATGGCTCAGCAATGCCACGCTGTCATTCTTCATCTTAACAAATCTTTTAAAGAGTAGCTAAAAGGAGAAAGATGAAAGTAATCATTGACCATGTCCCTAGTTCCTGGAGCTGCTTCCCTGGCTGAGGAATACAGTTCATAAAGCTGGGGCTGGAGCCGCCTGAGAGCTGACACATAGATCGTGTTTATGCCTGGGGTGTGTAAATGCTTAGTGTAATGAACATGCTATGTGGAACTCTAGCCCCCTCTCATACTTGCTGAATCTATAGTGTGCTTCTTAGATATTAGAAGGGCTGGCAAGAACAGGGCGATAGAGGCTTGAGCAGGCTCCCGCTATGGAGAGGACATTGTAGTTTCTTGCCTTTGAAAAGGAGAGGGAGAAGGCAAGCAAAGAAAATAGCATTTTTTTGGGGAAAAATGTTCCAAAATAGAAGAGGGACCCAGGCACGCCACTGGTGCTTCTGTGAGAAATATAGTCAGTCCTCTTTCCCGGAATACTGTATTAGAGGGTGGGTTTGCCGGTACAGACTTTGTTGGAGCCAACCCAACAGAACGCTGTTAGAGTGTGGGATCCCTGTTGGGATCCCTGTCCTTTCCAGTGATGAAGAAAGAGTGCCACACGAGCCTCAGTGTTCAGCAGCTGCACACTGCAGAGCAGGGAGGTGGGCAACGTGGATGGACCCGGGGGTGCTGAGGATTTTGAGGGGCTCATTCCTCCTCATGAAAGGCGGCGAGGTGCTAAATATCCTCATAGATTTAATTGGCATTGATATAAAAACTGACTGTAGCTACTTTTTGCAGCTGAAGTTCTGTAGGGCTCCATGCGAGCAGGGCCGAGAGAGGCCGAGATTGATGTGCTGGAGGTGACGGATGGGTTGTGCAGGGCTGCCTTTGGCTGGGCAGGTCCATCTGATCTTTACAGAACCTCTTGCCATCTGCCATTTAGGTTATGTCTGGACAGAAAAATACGCCCAAGAACAGTCAACTCCAAACCGAAGACATTTCAGTGGCAGAATTAAATCAGCTGCTACCAAATGGGAATATTATGTCTAAATCAATCCTAGATGACCCTGCCCTAAAAAAATTTCTGAAAAATGTCAGCTCTGTTGTACTATGTGGTCATGATAAAAAATACTTGCTTTTTAAAAGTCTGCTCCAAAAGAATAGCTTTCAGGGCATGCCTACTAGAAAAGACTCCTCCTTTCTGTTGTAGCCACAGGAATCAGAACCGATTTAACCAGCGCAACAAAAGCATTGCCCCAGGATTCCTGGGAAACAATCTGGATCATGTTCTCTTTAGCCCTCAAGGCTGTGGTGAAAAAAAGGTATGACAAGGGAAAAAGTGAAAACTCCGTTTAATGCAGCTGATGTTTAGTGGAAAGGTTAATCAGATTTGTAACCTCTTAGCTTCTGTCAGGTGCTCAGAAATTTAAACAATAACCATTGTGTTTTAGTGTAAAAGACGTATAAAATTTTTTGATTTCTGTGCCCAGAAACAAATGGGCACATAATGAGGAGTATGCTACGTATTGGTGGTGCCTGGCTCTAGCAACTACAACGGGCCAAGATTTCTGGCTATGTACATCTATATGCGTCCCTACTGTGTTCTATTTTAGTGGTAAAATCTTTAAAATGAGGAACAGAAAGAGAAAAAAGAGCATATGATTATAGTCCACATTCTGTAAAAATACATTTATTGTTAAGTAAATTAAATCCAGATATTTAAAGTAATTGGGTGACAGAAAACCTTTAGAACTATTGTTTTATATTTTATGTATCGCATTAAAACCGAATTCATATTTTACAATTTGAAATTATTTAAATTTAACGTAAACGTAATGAAATTCTGACTTTTTCCGTGAATCCCGTAAATTTTCATATATCTTGACTGCACACGGTACTCTGTGGTAAGAGCAAAGTTTGATTCAGTGGGAAAAGTGCTGCTCTGGAGTTTGAATGTCGAGGTTTGAATCCAGATGGCTCTGTTAGCTGTAAACTTGCCTGGGTCTTTGCAGGTCTCGGCCTCTCCATATTTAGAGTGGGACTCGTAATACTTAATCTCACCCTGCCATAATGGAGGGGGAATTTGGAAGCAACTAGACTTCAGGCGCGTTTCTCTATTCAGTTTCTAGGAATGTTTAAGCATGGTGGGGTGAGCACAGAGCAGGAGCGCAGCGGATGGATGACCCTGAAAGTCGGATCGGCCTAGGGGTCGCATATGGGCCTTTGTCACTATGTGTGTTTTTATTCGACTTCTACTTCGGTGGGCTTACTATGTGTCGGGGGCTCGGCTGTCTTTGGTGGGTACACAAGGGGATGCGAGCAATGATGACGTGTGAGGAATTCACCTCTTTCCTGCCCCTTGGCACCTTCACCTCTGTCCCCTCTGGAGCTTCTCCCCTGTCCATTCATGGTCTGTACTAACTGTGTCCTCCAGTGACCTCTGCGGCCCTCTCTCCAGGGTGTGCTTCCTGTCCTCTGGAGTAACGCCCGGCTCCAGGGTCTACGGTGAAGGCAAGTGAAGCGTTCATAAGTCACTGAAAACAATTTCCTGGCATGAAGCACTTGCTAACTTTTAGTTATCATTTTGTATCTTCCCACTCCTCCTGGGCTGGGGTTTATTCTACCCCATTAGTCACCTCCTGTCGAGTTCTTTTATGCCTGTGAGGATACAAGAAAGATCAGAGCCAGGATTAAGGTTCAAGGATAAGAGTCTTGGTATTTAGGTTAATAACATTGGAAATGACCTCTGCTTGATAGGAAACCATGAAGTTATGGACATGAAAAGAATTAGGATGAGTTATGTCCATGTACCAACTCCCCATGATGGATGTAACCCCTATGTACTGCAAACATGTACTAATAAAAATAAAAATTAGAAAAGAAACCACAGTGAATCACAGGATAAGAATATCGTATATAATAAAATCTTGAGTAATAAGATATTATTTGTAGTTTATCACAGCTGTATTTAGTCATACTTTTCCAGTTTAAAAAAAAAAACTTCCAGTCAACTCTTACACACTTACATAAGATATCAAAATCTGAAGAAAAACTGCAGAGGAAAAGCATTCATGCACAATCACATTCTCCCTTATTCTCCAAACAACTCAGCTTACTTCTAACAAGAGCATCAGAAAATTTCTTACCAAAGAAGCAAGACCTTTAAAAGGAAAGAGCTGACAACCAGATAAACTACATAGCATTTACAGAGGGATTCGGTGGAATTTACTCCATCTATTTCCCTGGTCCCTAGAGGAAATCATTCATCCTGGGAGGGCGCAGCTGATTGAGGGGGAAGACATGCGGATTAGGAGAGACAAAGCTTTGAACTGTGTTTATGGGGTAAAGTCTAGGCCTCCGGATTCTCATCACAGAAGGGAGGCGCCTGGACTGGATTCCTTTAAAGGGTCTTTCTGGCGGAACAGGGTGAGCTCCACTGTACTAGGCCACTGTTCGGTGCCACTTACAATCATGGGCTCACTACAGTCTGCAGACCCCGCTCGGTGAGTGCAGGCACTCAGCTCACCTGTGCTTGGATCCCCTGGGAAGCCCAGTACCTGGCCAGCACCAGTCCTCTGCTCGGCCTATGTACCTGCAGTGAGATCCTTCAGGTGTTTTACCTTGCAAGAGTGTGCTTTACCTTTCAGGTGTGGTGAGGCCAAGGAGGACAATGGATTTGGAAGAAACTGGAGATCCACAGAGGCTTTTTTTATTCATTTGTTTGTTTTTAGATGTAAAGGTGTAAAATGAAGGCAGTGAGAGTAGGCTGAAGATATTTCTTTGATTAATTTTATTTATTTATTTATTTAGGTACTGGGGATCAAACTCGGGACCTTGCACTTGTGAGGCAGGCAGCAGAACCACG